TTTTTTTTTTTAAGTGGAGCCAGTGTCTTGCTCTTGAACTCCTGAGCTCAAAGGATGCTGCCCCATCAGCCTCCCAGAGTGCTAGGATTACAGTTGTGAGCCACCAGTCACCACCCTGCCTTTCGGGATCTGAGTAATAACATATGCTTGATATATTATTTTTATATAATAAACCCAAGTGCATATATATAACATATCATATATGTGCTTGGGTTTTACCAATGAGAAGAAATCTAGGCCAGGCATGGTGGCTCATGCCTGTAATCCTAGTACTCTGGGAGCCCAAGGCGAAAGGATCACTCTCAAGTTTAAGATAAGCCTGAATAAGAGTAAGACCCTATTTGTTACTAAAAATAGAAAAATTAGCCAGGCTTTGTGGTACTGTAGATTTGGTTCTTAGGCTATAGTTGACCCCTGCTGTAGATAAACCTACCTCATTTCATGTGTAAGAAACCTTGAGGTCAAAGACATTAAGTAATTAATTTGTATAATTGATAAATGGTATTTAAAACTAGTTGTTTTTAAAAAAAAAATAGAGACAGAGTTTCACTCTTGTCCTCCCAGTGCGTGCCCCCCACCCCGCCCCCCCAGATAAAGTGCAGTGGCCATAGCTCACTGTAACCTGGAACTCCTGGTCTCAAATAATCCTCCTGAGTAGCTGGGACTACAGGTGTATGCCACCACTCCCTGCTAATTTTTGTATTTGTTTGTAGAAAGAAGGTCTTGCTGTGTTGCTCAGGCCACCCACCTTGGTCTTCTGAAGTAGAATTACAGGTGTTAGCCACTGCACTTGCCCCACACTTTTAATATAAGAAAATGATTTTTTTTTGGTGGAGAGGCAGGCACAGTGGCTCACACCTGTAATCCTAGCACTCTGGGAGGTCAAGGCAGGTGGTCAAGACCATTAGTGGTCTCCAGAAACAGCCAGGCGTTGTGGTGGATATCTGTATTCTCAGCTACTAGGGAGGCTAAGGCAAGAAAATTACTTAAGCCCAAGAGTTAGAGGTTGCTATAAGCTTTGACACCACTGCACTCTATTGAGGGTGAAAAAGTGAGACTCTGTCTCAGAAACAAACAAAAAAAATTTTTTTAAAAATATGCCTACCTATCTTCTGTATAAAGAAGATGTAAATATGTTTGTGAAAGAAAACCATTGTTTGGTAGGGCAAATTTTTACTCTTTTGGGGCTCACGGTTAAGAAGACTTAATATTTTATTATTTGTATTTAATCCTGTTTTGCTAGGTTTATCCAGTAGTTAATGGATACATGTGATATACCAGCTTCTCCCCAGTAATGTTGATTCAAAATATTTCATGAGAACAATCTATTTTTTTTAAAGTAGATGGTTCAAAGAAAAAAAAAAGTAGATAGTTCACCTTTTGGATCTTATTTCCATTACCTTGAAAAACATTGCAAGGTGAGCAGATTATGTTGCTTGTCTAGCAGCATTTGAAACCAGTTTTCAGCATTTGTTTTCTGAGTTAATTTCTGATCTAATAATGTAATAGGATAGCACACAATTACTAATTTGAGCTCTATTTTGAGAATAGTTTACTCATTGCTAGGGGATGCCTGAGGAATTTTGATCTCTTTACACTAAACTTACTGAAATCCTGGTTATGACTTCTGCTTAGGACTTCTAAAATCTGTTTCTTTAGAAGCCTGATGATGTCTGCAGAATTCTGGTACTACAGATCATACTGTTTCTATAATATTTATACTTGAAAATTATTATGATGGTGGTGGGGATCTTGATGACATGACTATTACAATAGAGCTAGTATTACTTATTTGATCGTTTACTTAATACCAAGGATTTTACCTCGGTTTAATTACCTTCATACACATTGCTTTCTTTCTTGTTACCATGAATCAATTCCATGTGTCTATGGAAGATCAGTCCTTCATGTGTGCACTAGATCTCATCCTGTACCTATTTAAAGTTATCACTCTGGCAGTTCTCTTCTGTTTTTCCCACAATGACAGCTTTTTACCCTTCCTTTGCTGGATTACTGCCATTAGCATACAGTTTCACTTTATATATACATGTACATATATATAAAATATATGAATATTCTATTCATTATATATGAATATTTATATAAATAAAATATATATTTATATATGTAAATATTATATGTGAATATTTTATTCATTATATATGAATGTTTTAAATATGAAAATATTCATATATAATATATATGTGTGTGTGTATATATATATTTTAGAGATAGAGTCTCACTTTGTTGCTCTCGGTAGAGTGCTGTGGTGTCATAGCTTATATAGCAACCTCCAGCTCCTGGGCTTAGGTGATTCTCTTGCCTTAGCCTCCCAGGTAGCTAGGACCACAGGCACCTGCTACAAACCTGGCTATTTTTTTGTTGCAATTTGGCTGGGGCCAGGTTTGAACCTGCCACCTTCGGTATATGGGGCTAGCACCCTACTCACTGAGCCACATGTGTGGCTCTCACTTTATATTTTTTAAAAAGGTTTTTTCTGTCTCCATATTTTTATCCAGCTATAGCCCTATTTTCTGCTTCCCTTTTATAGGAATACTTTTAAAAAAAAAAAAGACATTATACTGTCTTTATTTTTTTCTTCTTTTTATTATAGAATTCACCCAAATCAGACTGCATAGCATCCACCTACTCTGCCCAAAGGACTTTTGCCAAGGTCTCTAGTGATTTCTACTTTGACAAATCTTAGTTGACCTCTTAGTACCATTTGACATAGTTAAACATCTTTCTCATCTTAACGATGTTCTTCACTTCAGCTAATCCCTTGGTTTTCCTTTTCATTTCCTTTGCAGTTTTCCCTCATTTCTGTTATCTCTAATAGAGATGGACTGCTCCAGAATGCTGCTTTTCTTTGTGTACTAACTACCTGAGTTATCCAGTCTAGTCTTTTGGTTTAAATGTTACTCATGTTCTCCTAATTTAAAAATGGATAAGTCTGGCTCATACTTATGCTCAGACTCCACATTTGTCTTTTTCTGTCCGTTTGATATTGCTATTTGAAGCAATATCAAATAGATATTTTACATGTCTAAAATTGAATTTTGGATTTTTTGCCTGCAACTCCAGTTTTCCTCATCTTAGTAAATAGTGCCGCCATTCTTGCCTCTCCTCAGGCAAAAAACCTTCAGACTTTTCTTTGAGTCCTCTTTCTCTCATACCAACACTCAATTCTATAGGCTCTCCCTTCAAAATATCTAGTGTTGACTCCTTCGCCCAACCTCTACTTGAAGTACTCTGATTTCATAAGATTTATAATAATAGCCTAAGTTTTGAAAGTTAAAAATATTTCACTTGGAGTATAAGTAGTGAGAAGAAGATAATTTCAGGCAGATGGGCAGGATAGTGAAAAGTATGAACAAAATTGAAGAGATTGGTATAGTCAAGGGATAGGAATTAGGAGTAAGTTATAGCCAGAGTAAAGGTGTGGGATTTAAGAATGGTAGAAAATGTAGTTTGGAACCTGGATTCTTAGTTATCAGGACTTATCTCTTAGACTACTTGTTCTTAGCCTTTTCCCACCCAATATAAGGCCGTTTGCCAATCCTTAATAGTAATTCCCTGGGGCAATGGTTCTCTGTAAGTAAGGAGAAGAATTAGACCATCCTTCACCTCTCAGGATGATCAGATATATTCTCTACTTTGCTTGACCAAACCTATTTACATTCACAAACCCTTGTGTGAGAGTCACTATTGCAGGTAGTGGGCCCCAGAATAATAATTTTTAAAAGCAACACTATAGCATGACATATGTGTGTGTGTTTATGTTGTTTGGGCTCAAGCGGTCCTCCTACCTCACTCTCCTGAGTAGCTTGGACTGCACGCTTATGCCACCACTTCAGGCTTACTGTGTTGTGGTTTTGTTTTGTTTGAGATGGGATCTTCCTTTGTCTACCTGGCCTGGAGTGCAGTGGTGTGATCATAGCTTACTGTAGTCTTGAACTTTAACCTCAAGTGGTCCTCCTGCCTATCAGCCTCTGGAGTAGCTGGGACTAAAGGCATGCACCATTAGGCCCAACTTGAATTGTGTTTTAGGAATATAACTGGTGTAACATCTGTAGGAATAGTTATCTAGTTGTTTTCATTTTGAATGTGAATATGTAAAGGCATTTCATATTTGTGGGAATAATTTCTTTATCAATTTAGTAACTGGAGGATAGCTAGTGGAAAGCAATGATTAAGAAGAATGTTTTTGCTTAATCTTTAGGGTTTGTCCCCAGACACAATGCCATTGATAGTCCTGTAGTGTTTGACAATAACTGAGTGCCTCTTTTCATTTTTTTCTAATTCTTTAGGAACGCCTTTTTACCCAAGTCAGCCAGTATATCAGTCAGCACCTATCATAGTGCCTACGCAGCAACAGCCCCCTCCAGCCAAGAGAGAGAAAAAAACTGTAAGAGATTTTTATTAATTTTTTTATTTTAAATTAGAAAGTCTGTTCACTTACCAAATAAGTTTACCCAATCATTATTTATCTCAGTTCATGAATAACTGTCATTTTTTTTCTTCTTCCTTTGCATTCCTACCACAAGACCTCGAGGAGTTTTAGGAACATATAACTAGAAGTTGTACATTCCATTTGCATAATATCAAACTTCACTATTCACTGAGCTGGTTGTGCTACTTGAAAACATGCATGCCAGCTTTGTAAGTGGGAGGGTTTAACATGCCAAGGTCTCACTCTTTGAGAGGAATTTGAGCTCAGTTCTCATGTACTGTCTCTCCCTTAACACCAGTCCCGATTGGCTCTCCATTCAAGTATAAGCTGACAAAAGAAGGTAAAAGCAAAGAGAAAAATGAGCTACAGTATTAAGGATGGGAAGAAAAATCCCTTCTGCAGAATAGATATATTTTAAAAAACAAAGTAGAATTTAGAAAATGTATCCTCTGTTTTAAATAAGTTTATAGGGGCTTTGCCTATAATTAGAGTGTAGTAATATAAAATTAAAATTGCAGAACATTTTATAGAAGAGTGGCTTGTGATCTCTTATCTGTCAAAACACACAAAACAGGTGGTGTTTTTAATCAAGAGAGACTCCCACTGACTCCCACTCACACAGATAAGATAGGTGAGAGTGACATTATAGCAATACTCTTGAAGTACTCTAATGTAATAAAAATTAATGAGGTTCAAAACTAGTACTTTATTATTAGAAACAAGTTACTTGTGCACATGTCATAATAAACAGGATATGTCAGTGTACTAACACTGGTCTTCGGAAATGTTGAATTATGGCAGAAGTTGAAGAACAACACTCTATTATAATAGTAAATGAGATACTATGAAAATCGAAGACAGCAGTAATAGATGTTACTAAAGAAGAAAGTACAAAAAATGAATCTGGCTTGGTGCCTGTAACTCAAGCGGCTAAGGTGCCAGCCACATATACCAGAGCTGGTGGGTTTGAATCCAGCCCAGGCCTGCCAAACAACAATGACAAGTATAACCAAAAAAATAGCCGGGCATTGTGGCGGGCACCTGTAGTCCTAGCTACTTGGGAGGCTGAGGCAAGAGAATCGCTTAAGCCCAGGAATTGGAGGTTGCTGTGAGCTGTGATGCCATGGCACTCTACCCAGGGCAATGGCTTGAGGCTCTGTCTCAAAAAAAAAAAAAAAAAAGAAAAAGAAAAAATGAATCTAAGCTATCCTTAAAACTGTATTAGAAATATTTCCATACCTGCAAAAAATAGCTGGTATTAGAAATCTTAATTGAAGAACTGTTCCCCTAAAAGCTTTTAGATCTAGGTGATTGTATTAGTGAATTCTTTGATCTTCTCAAGCTACCTTGATTAAGGTATAGTGGTAATAAATAGCAGGGGACCCTTCATGTCTCACCTTGGAGTGCCTAGACCTAGGTACTCCATCTCTAATACAGTACTATCCCCACTGATACCTGTTAGCATAGGTAGCCTTTAAAATAAATAAGTCCATACACACAGTTGTGCATATTTTTCACTTGCCAGTATTATCTTGATGATAATTCTTTTTACTGGCTGTGTGGTATTTAATTGTAAATATGTAAGAATTTTTGAACTATTCTGTTCTTGATTGGCCTTTAGGATCTTTCTTTGTAGGAAGAAACACTATTGCAGTGAGCATCCTTATATACATATGTAAGGTTGTTTGTAGGATACATTCCTGTTCCTAAGTATATTTTCGTTTTGTTAGATAACCTCAGGGAACCATTTAGGGCATTTTAAACTCTGTTTTACACAGTAACTCCTGTAATAAAACTATTTTATGAAACTTGTCTTATAATACGCATTGTAAATAAAATAAATCTGATAATTCATACAAAACAAACATAAATAAATCTAGAAATCCAATCAACTACAATTCATTTAGCTTGTTATTCATGATTAGTTAATGTCAAAGCTAATGGCCTAAATTTCTTTGACCCCATATGGATCTATGATTGGCATAAAGTCAAAGTAGTGATTATTATTACCTTTGATATTTGACAGGTTTCCCATTTCACCTTTAACTCTCTTCAGTATGCCTATAAATCTGCAACAGACAGATCTGTATGTATGCTATTTTCTTTAACGTTATAGATAAGAATTCGAGATCCAAACCAGGGAGGTAAAGACATAACAGAGGAGATTATGTCTGGAGGTGGCAGCAGAAATCCTACTCCACCCATTGGGAGACCTACATCCACACCAACTCCTCCTCAGGTAAGCCAGAGTGAGCTATGATGGATGAAGGTGTTTATTTGTTCACTAACTTCCACTGATCTCTTCTTTTTTTCTAATAGCCACTTTTTGTACTTTCCATTTTCATCATTTGTCTCATAGCCTAAATGATATTTAAACAGACATGTTGTTTCTCTTTGCAAATTATTATAACTTCAAATTTTTACTGGTAATAAATATTCTGTGTATTGGCTTCCCATTCAGAGCACAGCTGCTGCCACTCTTCCTAAAGAGCTATTGCATATTACCAAAAGGAGCTGTATTCCTATGGAAACCTCTTTATTAAATGAATAGTTTATGTTTTTACCATTGAACCTTTGGAATTAAATGCTGCACTCTTTGTTAATGCTAACATTAAGATTGAAAATTTAAATATTTTTACCAAGTAGCGTTGCATGAGATGATTGCCTGTTGCCTGTGTTATGGAGAGCATATTAGGATGTGTAATAGGTGTACTTGTTACCTTTTAGAACTATATAAATGAGCTTCTTAAGTGAAGAGTGTCTTCTTTAATTAGTCATCTCTCAGTTTCCTTAGGGTTCAAAGATACCACCTCCATTCCTTTGAATAACAAAATCTAAAGATGCTGAAGACTCTCCTATGCAGTGGCCCAGAATTTACAATATGATTTATGCACATCTTCCCATATACTTGAAATCATCCATGGATTACTTATAATACTGAACTGTTATAGATGTTACGCAATATTTTTTATTGTTGTATTTTTTTTAAGTTTCTTCCAAATATTTTTGAAGTGAGATTGGTTTAATATTTGGAAGCACAGCACAACCTATGGATATGAAGGGTCTCGTGTATTTACAAAGGTTATTAGTAAATTCTGTCAGGTATGTGCCTTTTTGTTCCTGGAGAAGAATGTTATAGTCTCCTAAGATTTCACTTTCTTCCTTTTAGAAATCAAGACATTCTAGAAGGAGCTAGAGTTTAGTAAACTGTAACAGAGATTAGAATTCCACAGATGTGACAGGATTTTTATTTCATCATTGGGTCACATTAAATTTTGGTGTTTAGGTGGTTGGGGTTTGTTAACCAGGCCTAGGCAGGATTCGAACCTGCCGCCTCCAGTGCACAGAGCAGGCACTCTAACCTCTGACTTATGGGTGCCCAGCTTAAATTTTGATGTCAGAAACAAGTGATTTTTATTATTTTTTTGAGACAGAGTCTCACTTCATCGATCCTAGTACAGTGCCTTGGTGTCATAACTCACAGCAACCTCAGACTGCTAGGCTGGGCTCAAGCAATTTTCTTGCCTCAGCCTCCTGAATAATTGGGACTACCACAATGCCTGGCTACTTTTTTTAGAGGTGGGGATCTTACTCTTGCTCAGGCTGGTCTCAAACCTGTGAGCTCAGGTGATTTGCCCATCTTGGTCTCCCAGAGTGCTGGGATTACAGGTATGAGACACTGCGCCCAGCCTGTAAGTGATTTTTAGATCTTAAAAATTGTTTAAAGTGAAGCTAGGGGTATTGGCATGAGCCTGTAGTCCTAGCTGCTCCGGAGGCTGAGACAGGAGGATCACTTGAGCCTAGTTTAGGCAAAATAGTGAGAACCTATATCTAAAAGAAGTTTTCTAACATGAGAGGCTAGCTTAGATAAACAGATAAAAGCAAGGTTACTAAGGAGAAGAGGACATCTTTTTTTCTTTTATAAATGGATGGTGAGGGTTTCCTCAGAGCCCATTTTATAAACATTTTATAAACAAGTGATGTAGATGGTCATATAAGGCATTTCAGAATGATGGACTATTTACTGACTTTAGTAGTATAGGGTAAAACAAAATAGTTCTTAAAGGCTAGGCATGGTGGCCCTTGCCACTAATCCCAGCACTTTGGGAAGATGAGGTGAGAAGATTGGTTGAAATCAGGAGTTCAAGACCAGCTTGGCAACATAACGAGACTCCATCTACACAAAGTATTTTATTTATTATTATTATTTTTTGAGACAGAGTCCCACTATGTTGCCCTCAGTAGAGTGCTGTGGTGTCACAGCTCACAGAAACCTCAAACTCTTGAGATTAAGGGATTCTCTTGCCTCAGCTTCCCAAGTAGCTGGGACTACAGGCACCCGTCACAGCACCTGGCTATTTTTTGTTACAGTTGTCATTGCTGTTTTAGATGGCTCTGAGCAAGTTCGAACCCACCAACTTTGGGTGTATGAGGCTGGGTGGAGTCCTTAGGTAGTTTTTCTACGTAAGAGATCATGTCATCAGCAAATAGAGACAGTTTTACTTCTTTTCCAATTAGAAAGCCTTTTATTTATTCTTCTTGTTTAATTTCTTTGGATAGGGCTACCAGTACTTTGTTGAAAAGAAGTGGTGGGCCTGGGCGCAGTGACTCATGCCTCTGTAATCCTTGTACTCTGGGAGGCCAAAGTGGGTCAGGAATTTTAGACCAGTTCAAGCACGAGTGACACCCCTGGCTCTAAAAAAAACAGCCAGGCGTTGTGATAGGTACCTGTAGTCCCAGCTACTTGGGAAGCTGAGGCAAGAGGATCCCTTGAGCCCAAGAGTTTGAGATTGCTGTGAAATAAGACACCATGGCATTCTACCAAGGGTGACCAAGTGAGAGTCTTGTCTCAAAAAAACAACAACAACAAACAAAGTAAAAACTAGTCAGTTGTGGTGGTGGGCACTGAGTAGTCCAACCTACTCAGGAGGCTGAGGCAGGAAGATCATCTGAACCTAGAAATTCGAGGTTGCAGTGAGCTACCATCTAACTGCATGCACTCCAGTATGGGTGGCAGAGCAAGACCTCTTTCTTTCTTCCTTAGTTCTCCCCCTCCTCTTCCCTCTCTTTTCCCTTCTTTTTCTCTCTTTCTTTCTCTCACTTTTCTTCCCTCCCTCCCTCCCTTCCTTCCTTACTTTCTTCCTTCTTGATGGATTTAGAGCCCCTTAAAACTCTGTGAATTTGAGAAAGCCTAAAATTTGGTTCTTTGTTGTACAGACATGTTTTCTAAAGGAAGTGATCTTTGGCTGACTTTTATCTCAGTCTTTCATTGTCCATATGAGTACATGTACCCATCTAGATATGTGAGTTGTAAGGGGATATTAAGGATTGGTATAGAATTCTTCACCATTCCTCATTATTCACTCAGGGACACTCTAAAGTTGGGTTGATTAACCTTTTGACTGTAGAGAGCTTAGAAATAAAATGTGCCAAATGAGGCGTGCAGTGATTTCAAAAACCATTATGATACAGGGTGGGCTGCTGAATTTTTTTTTTCTTTTTTGTTTTGTTTTGCTTTTTTAATTGTTGGGGATTCATTGAGGGTACAAGAAACCAGGTTACGCTGATTGCATGTTAGGTAAGGTCCTTTTTACAATCATGTCTTGCCCCCAAAAGGTGTGGCACATGCCAAGACCCACCCCCATCCCACCTTCCCTCTCTCTGCTCTTCCTTTCCCCACTGCTCTCTCCTTCTTTCTCTCTCTGCTCTCCCTTTCCTCCACACCCACCGTGTCATTAATTGTTCTCATATCAAAATTGAGTACATAGGATTCATGCTTCTCCGTTCTTGTGATGCTTTACTAAAAATAATGTGTTCCACTTCCATCCAGGCTAATACGAAGGCTGTAGAGTTCATTTTTTTTAATGGCTGAATAGTGTTCCATGGTATACATATACCACAGCTTTTGTTAATCCATTCCTGGGTTGGTGGGCATTTAGGCTGTTTCCACATTTTGGCAATTGTAAATTGAGCTGCAAAAAACTGTCTAGTGCAAGTGTCCTTACAATAAAAGGGTTTTTTTCCTTCGGGGTAGATGCCCAGTAATGGGATTGCAGGATCAAATGGGAGGTCTAGCTTGAGTTCTTTGAGGGCTTTGCATACTTCCTTCCAAAAAGGTCGTATTAGTTTGCTTTCCCACCAGCAGTGTAAAAGTGTTCCCTTCTCTCCACATCCATGCCAGCATCTATAGTTTTGAGATTTTGTGATGTGGGCCATTCTCGCTGGGGTTAGATTGTATCTCAGGGTGGTTTTGATTTGCATTTCTCTAATAATTAGGGATGGTGAGCATTTTTCATATGTTTGTTAGCCATTTGTCTGTCTTTAGAGAAGGTTCTATACATGTCTCTTGCCCATTGGTATATGGGATTGTTGGCTTTTTTCATGTGGATTAATTTGAGTTCTCTATAAATCCTAGTTATCAAGCTTTTGTCTGATTGTGAAAATATACAAATATTCTTTCCCGTTGTGTAAGCCGTCTGTTTGCTTTGGTTGTTGTCTCCTTAGCTGTATGGAAGCTTTTCAGTTTAATTAAGTCCCATTTGTTTATTTTTGTTGTTGTTGCAATTGCCACAGCAGTCATCTTTATGAAGTCTTTCCCCAGGCCAATATCTTCCAGTGTTTTTCCTATGCTTTCTTTGAGGATTTTTACTGTTTCATGCTTTAAATTTAAGTCCTTTATCCATCTTGAATCCATTTTTGTGGGTGGAGAAAGGTGTGGGTCCAGTTTGTCTTTTACATGTGGATATCCAGTTCTCCCAGCACCTTTTATTGAACAGGGAGTCTTTTCCCCAAGGTATGTTCTTGTTTGGTTTATCAAAGATTAGGTGGTTCTAAGATATTAGTTTCATTTTTTGGTTCTCTGTTCAATTCCAAATGTCTAAATCTCTATTATTGTGCCAGTACCATGCTGTCTTGACTAGTATGGCTTTGTAGTACAGCCTAAAATCTGGTATGGTGATGCCCCCAGCTTTGTTTTTATTACTAAGAATTGCCTTAGCTATACAGGTTTTTTTTTTTGGTTCCATATAAAACGCAGAATCATTTTTTCCAAATCTTGAAAGTACAATGTTGGTATTTTAATAGGGATGGCGTTGAATAGGTAGATTGCTTTGGGAAGTATGGACATTTTAACAATGTTGATTCTTCCCAGCTATGAGTATGGTATTAACCATTTGTTAATATCCTCTGCTATTTCCTTTCTTAGGGTTTCATAATTTTCTTTATAGATGTCCTTCACCT